AGGCTGAAGTTGGTGTTGTTGATTCCGAAGAAAAAGTTGCCGGAGCTCAGGGTTGAGGTTCTACCAGCTAGTATCCTGAACTCTTGTAGTTGAAGAAAATGCCATTGAGGCTGTAGTGGAATTTAGAGGCCCAGGACAGAGTTCTCAAGGCACAAGATCAATGAGGTCCAAAGCATGGACCTTTGTGCTCCACCAGAGTGATAGTTGGAGATGGTGACAGAGCAGTACAAGGATTATGGTTTATACAGCTGTGAGACAAAAATGGCAAAGAGCAACCTAGCCATTCTGAATTAAGGAGAACAGGCAGACCCCTGGGAAGACTTTGCTTGGTCCCTTCAGACTAATTTGTTTCAGTATAACTTTTATTCAGTATTGAAAAAGGACGTCACTATTTCTTTCTGACATGTTGTATATTGCCAAGCCCTTATAGTTATGCAGTATAACAAGCCAGGGAAAAACATGAATAATGCATTGAAATACTACTTCTGCCTTTCCCCCAATGAAATATCAAGTTTTTTAACTGAGATGGAAATATTAAAAACCCATCCGGTATATTTCTGCTATGTAATGTACAACTCCTTTCATGCCTTTGTGCTGCAGATACATTCTTATATGGCCAAAAAGGTTTCCAGAATGTATTCTGTATCACAGTTCTACAAACAGAATAATTCATAAGACATGTTTAAGGTTTGACTTTGTGTCTACTTCCTGACTTTTTATATTGGGAAAATACTCCAGAATTTAATGGATTGTCTAGCTGTTAAACGCATAAAATATATCTGAAATTGTGATATAGATAACAACAATTAACCCTTTTCTGAAAAAAAAATATAAAGAAATCATTTGAAGTTGTTTTGTACACATACACAAAATATTGTACATGTTTTAATTGCTTTTTAGACATTACAGAGAGTAATAAGGTCCAGATAAGGTCATCCTCAGTATCACCAGTTATCTATCCCCATAAGAGTACATAACGCACAAAAAGGTGTACGATCCAGACTGAACGGCACTAGAATTCACAAAAGGGTTTAAAATCCAAACACATTTGCACCACAGTGAAAGAAACGGCTAAAGATACAAACAGAACTGCACAAGAAAATAACTCCCCTCCACCACAGTCCCAAAGCAGTAAAGGTAAGAGTGAAGCGTGATGACAACAAGTGCCAATTTTCTTCACCCGATGAAAGGACCAGTGGGATGGTAAACTTTGGAATCCAAGTTCTTTTTCTCAGTGCTGTGCAGGAACATTCACTGCAGATTCAGTCACAGTTCAGACTGCCAGAGTGCAGGGCTTTGAAACACGGATCACTGGCTATTCCTGAAGAGTGAGGAGGCTGTTCTCTATTGAACTGGGGTGGGAGGGGGGGATGGGGGTTTTGAGATTTGAGAGAGAAACGACTCCATAATTAGTTCTGTTGTAGCCTCTGTGCTTTCTTAACCTTGGATTTCTTCAATTTATTCCTGTCAGAGGTGGCAAATGTTTCAGAATAGTCATTGATCCCCAAGTCCCCCGTGACCTGTGTTATAAATTGTGCAGGTGAGGCTATGAGCCAACTTAGAATTGTGTGGACCCAGCAGAAATATACATTGTGCTCAATGCTTATCTCTGTTGCTGGTCAATATCTCCTTTTGTCCTTAAAAAGTAAAGAATAGTTTCATATTTATACACCTTTAACCTCTTCCGGAGCCAGTTCATAAACCACTGTAAAGTGGCTCACTTGAATAGCCGTTTTTTTCATACAAAGAACAGCTACAAATGTGAACAGGCCATTTGGTCCATCTAGCCCATTTGGTATGGTTCTGCATTGTTTTGTTTTTTTGCTTTTGCTTGCTGTTACGTCCCAGTGTGTGGTCTATGTGTGTTTATTGTTATGTTCCACACTTCTGACTTTGATTGTTCTCCCTTCCCCATTGGCCAACCATTTGTTTCCGTATGACATCATCTTCAATTAGCTTCTCGACCAATCACAACTCATCTTTTTCACTATATAACATGGAGGTTTACAGAAGGAAGAGGCCTTTCGTTTGACTTTGGTCCTGCTCGGCTTTGGTTTTCGCTTCGCCTCGCTTCGCCTCGCTTCGCCTCGCTTCGCCTCGCTTCGCCTTGCTTCGCCTCGCTTTGCCTCGCTTTGCTTTTGCTTCGGCTTTGTTGGTTTGTTGTTTTGCTTTGTGTGTGTGTGTTTTCGGATAGCTTCGGCTTTGTTGTTTTGTTGGTTTCTGTTCGTCTCTTAGTACTTTCGTTTGTTTGTGTTATCCTTATTTTGCCATTACCTTGCCCAAACTTGTTACTGTATCAATCTCTGTGTTCTTTTGTACCCTGTTACTTGTCTACTCTCGTTTGTATTCGTAGTTCACTTGTGTATTTTTGTGAACTTTTGTGTATAGAGTTAGTTCAGGTTGTTGGGTACACACGTAGTTAATTATTGTATTAGTAACACTAGTTAAGTATGGGTGAGTGCCGTTTGTCTTGTATGGTTTTGGGTAGTCAGTGGAAGTAAGCTAAGGGTGTTGAACACGCCGAAGACCATGTGTTTCGGGTTTTTTTGTAGTCAGGTTAGCTTTCCCTCATTTCCCTCATTCATTCTTAGCCAGCTCCATTTTGTTTGTTATTTTCTTTTCTTTCGCACCACTCTGTGTGTTATCGTGTCCAAATACAAACCAGTCACTTATTCATCTTAAAATCATCACTTTTGCACCGACCCTTAATATCACGCTTCCTAGTCCTTTACCAGAACCCACCTGCATCCAAAAATTATCCAAAATGTTACACCCCTTTACCCCTAGACACGTGGGGTTGTAACACTTGCTGTTTGACAATCGAAGGTCTTTCAGTTAATTCACCTGTTTGACAATCGAAGGTCATTCAGTTAATTCACCTGTTTGACAATCGAAGGTCATTCAGTTAATTTCACCCTTCTGTGTTCAAAGTAAAATTGTTGTTGAAGCACCAGGGTATATTGGATGGGCTTTAATGTAAGATTATTATTCATGGCACCTGAAGTTGGAGATTGACACACAAAGTGAATGGATATTTTTCGCTCTGCCTGTGCAGGTATTTTCTTAAATTTGAATACTCAATCTTTCATTGTACAAGTATTTGAGAGTAACCAGTGTATCCACAGCCTAATATACCATTAGGACCATACAAGTAAATCATTACTTTTCTGTTAGCTTTGGCAGAGATGAAAAAGAAAGCTCAAAGAATACATTAATTTAAAGGTCAAAGCTGCTATTTCCAGAAAAAAAACAACAACTGCTTGAGAATATTAGTTAAAGGGACAAAATGGTTGGAAAGCTCTAGCATTGTTTGCCAGATATAAACTAATGTTGCAAGATGAAATCCCATTCATTGTTGGCTTACATTACTAGCAAATCCATCTAAGACTTTTGTAGTTATCATAGATTTCCAGGAGAAATATTAGGATAATCTACCCACTTCTATTTTTAATCCTGATTACTTAAGAAAATTAGCTCAAAACAAACATTTTAATGGCACAATGGGTTTGACTGTGTCTACTACTTCACCTGAGAGAGGTTTAATTCACTATTACACCAAATAATATATGGAAAGAGTACATTAAGTTAACTGCTGCATGTCTCTAATCAAATTTAAAGTAGTGCCTTTTTGTACCATTCCCAAATAAATTCACAAGGGACATCTTATATTATTATATATTTGTGCTTTTTCATTAGCTTAAAAAGTGTACTTGAAACATATTTCTGATCTTAAGGCAGCACATTAAGGCAGTTACACAGTTCATTTGCAGAAGAAATAACTTTGTTTGAAGGAGTGTGTGCTACAGAAATACATGAGCTTTTATTACCATTAGGTCATCTGTGCCTTGGTAAAGAAAAAATAATTACACAATTCTACCCACAAAGACCAGTGAGTTGGTCTGTAAAAAGATAATTGTTATAATCTATAATAGTAACCCCTGTGGCTGTTACTTTATTTTAAGTGCACTTAAAATAAAGTAAATTAATAGCAGTTAGAGCCATTTCTGACAGCAGTGTTGGCACTTTTTAGCATGGTGCTGTCAAAGCACATGGGGTACTTTGCTGTAAAAGATAATGTTCTTTGGATAAGACATTAAACTATCCTAGCTACCTGGTTATTAAAGCACTGTTCATAAGAGCAGAGATGTTAACTGATGCATCCTGACTGAATTTAGATTTGGACTTCCACAATCCTGTGTATACTGTGCTGGAACAAATCTGTAATATTAACTGAATGTTCCCTTGGTGTCATCAGTAGCTAAAATAGAGTACAGATAATCTTGGGGCTACAACTATGTACTGAATTGTAAAGCACCATATTTCAGCTACAATGCCTATTCAGCACAGGTTAACTTCTAAAGTCAGATTTAAAAGCTTTTTTTATCTGTTTAAGAGCAGATTAAAATCCTGTCTGCTCTCAAAAGTTCAAAGAATGTCTCAAAGATTCTAGGGACAGATGATTACCTTAGTTTGATGGGACTACTCAATTACACAGTCCACAGATTTGAAGAAGCATTTAAGGTACAAATAAGGAATCACTTAATTAAAAAGAACCTAATTCCCCTTTCTGCTACTTAAAGTAAGGCTCTTATGTAAGAAAAAATAGTTTCCATGTGATTGGTCCATCTATTTTCAGAATTTTTAGTCTTTTTCCGCAAAGCACAGGCAAAACAAATACAGTCCTGTACAGGATGCCAGCTCATCACAAGCCACACATAAACTATATATATAAACTAATATGCACTGGCACTACAAGGCCAATTTAGAAACACAGAGGAACTTAAAATATCTTTGGATTGTGAGAGGAATGCAGACCACTGGGAGAAAACACTAATGGAGAACAAGTCCACAAAGAAGCAGCTCAGACGCAGGACTGAATAGCCATAAGGCTACATTACCAACCCTACATTACACAGCTGTGACAAATTAATCTATTTGACAAATAAAGACTGATATTTTACAGAGGGTTTTTAGGATCTCAAAGAGAAACACCGAAACTGGCTGGACCAGCGCTGCAGCTGTGAAGCAGTCTGTGTTCATTTGCTGCTAAGCAACAGTATTGTAAAAAAGCATGTCTTGCTGCAGCACGTTTTTGGATATATAATAAATCTTTGTTGCCACACTAATAGCTATAAACCTAAGTCTTAAAGCTGTACTGGTATTAGTAGGTTTGGTCAGATAGAATCTTTTGCCAAGAACTACTAGAACTCAATGCTAACAAAGCAATTCTACTTTCTAAACAATCTTCAGTCTTTTTTGTCTGTAAAGCAAAAGCAAATGTCTTAAAGATGCATGTAGTTTGGAACATTAGAAACTGAAATAGCTCGACAGTGATGTTCATTCGTTTGTTCTATAGCCACTGAAAAACATTACAGATCTACTGTAACTAGCAAGAGCATGGATTAAGCATTTCAGATTGGGAACCTGAAATTGTGACACTGGTAGCTCCATTCTGCAGGATTTAGTGGATTAAAGAGCAGTTTAATTCAGCCATTTCCTTTTAATACAATAAGTCTCTTTTTGCTGTCAATCAGAAACAAAATGTGGCTCTATTTTGTGAATGAGAGTATTATGATGGAAACATACCCTTCTGCTTTTGTAAAATGAATGTCACTGAGACCTGAGTCAGCAGTGAATGTAAAATCTCACAGCCCATCTTAACTCAGTGCCACAGTCCTGTTCTCTTTGCAATGGACAATAGTCCACAATGTGACTACCTCTGCTCCCTGTTCAGGGGTCCCAGGCCTGGCACACTCCAGCACCTAGGGGTGTTATCTTCTCAATGTCCTCAATATGGAGGCTCCTCTTGTGAGGTAGTTGCAGACTGTTGGTAACCCCTGTGACTCTGACTCCACCACCCCTTCCTGTACTCACAGCAAGAGATCCTCCCCGTCTGGCTCTTGCTGTGTTTATCGTCTTCTCCTTGTCAACAAATACTGACTCTGTAGAGTCTCCATCAGTACAGACTTTGTTTCGTACCCCAAAATTGAGGCCATTTCCAGCACTGTCACGTGTACAGTAGGTGTGCTGGGCCCCCTCACCACATGAGCAGCACTGGAATCTGAAGGCTGCCTGAAAGCCCCTCTTGAAGTTCTCATTGAAGTAACCATAAATGATGGGGTTGACACTGCTATTGGAGAAGGCTAGCCAATGGGCAAAGGGGAAGATATAGCCCGTGAGCAGGTTCAGCTGCTCATCGCTGAGCTGGGCATAGTCTGTCAGCAGCATTAGGGACCAGAGTGGCAGCCAGGACAGCATGAACAGCAGAGCCACCACGATCAGCATCTTGATCACCTTGATCTTCTTCTTGGAGATGGGGCTTCTGCCCTCACTGTGGGAGTGATGGTTTTGGGAATCAGAAAGATGGTGCTCCACTCTCTGATTGCTTGTGGGAACTGAGGAGGTATAGAGTTTTGCTCCGATGCGCCCGTACATGAAGATGATGAGTGTGAGGGGGGCAAGGTAGATGTGGGCAAACAGCACGGTGGTGTAAATCTTGCGCATCTCTTTGTCAGGCCAGTCCTCATAGCAGGAGTACAACGGGTAGGTGTGGTTGAAGTCATCATTGTATACCATGTAGTGGTTCTCCACTGGCCCCACCATCAGCATCACTGCCGAAGGGCACATGATGGCCACAGCAAGGACCCAGATCACTACAATGGTAACTATAGCAACCAGCAGGGTCAGCTTAGGTTTGAATGGGTGCACAATGCAGCGGAACCTAAACAGGAAAAAAGGCACAGTTAAAAGATTACACTTCCACTGCACTGTTTCATATATGTAAACAGCTCACCTGGTGCACAATGGGTGCCTTGGCATAAACAATACTGTATAGATATAATTAATTGTTTTATTATTATTAAATTACTTAATAGACATTTCTTCTCATTAATATCATTTATGGTTTTCTCTTGTACTATATTATATCCTTCCAACTCCACATGAACTTCAAATAATCTGCAAATAAAATCTGACTTGGAAAATACATTATCCACAGCTACATTTTGTCTCATGAGCTGCGGTACACTACACACTTTAAAATGTCAGGTAACTGAAAGCTTTCCCATTAAAAGTAAGCTTCAGATGTCAGTATATGGCACACCATAGACACTCACAGTCTTTGACAGTGATTTTGTTGAGAAAGAAATGTAGTAAAATGTATTTTCTATATATATAAATAATAGAAAGTAAATGTACTTTCTATTAGAAAGGGGAAAAATAGGGTAATAAACAAATGCATTTTTAGAATCTTCTAGTAACTATCAAAGTACTTGGTACTCTGTCAGCAGCCATATCACCCTGCAGCTCACAACTGCCAGCCCACTGAAGCTAAGCAGGTGTGAGCCTGGTCATTACCTGGATGGGAGACCTCCTGGGAAAAACTAAGGTTGCTGCTGGAGGTGGTGTTAGTGGGGCCAGCAGGGGCTGTTCACCCTGCGGTCCATGTGGGTCCGAATGCCCCAGTATAGTGATGGGATACTATACTGTTGCAATGCTCCATAGTGAAGGGCATGACAAGGCACAGAAATAATAGGCACAGAAAGGCGTCATAACTGGAGGTCTCCAGTAATGACAACTACTCGTACCACTGGACCCAGGCTTCTGAGGTCGAGAGAGTGGGACTGCCACAGTGCAACGGGTTGCCCAGTTTCAAATGAGCTGCACAAAGTACAACCGTCATCATCAGTTGGTACTCTGACTAAAGGCTAAAGGAACTGAACCTTTTTAGTCTTGATCAGAGACAACCACAAGGGAACTTCGTTCAGGTATTCAAAATCCTCAAAAGCAGCAGTGAACAGTGAAACATGAACCAGACGGCACAAGTGGAATCTATGCAGAATGCATTTAAAACCGAGGACACCAGGCACTTCTTTACCCAAACTTTTGTGGGAGCATGGAACAAACTACCCAGCCATGTTGTGGAAGCTTATACCACAACATCATATTTACTTATATTTGCAAATATAAGCTCATGTTTGCTTTAAACAAATCAGGAAATTTCAGTTCCTGGCATTAAGTACTAACCACCAAACAGACTAGATGGGCCAAATAGCTTCCTTTCATTAGTAACCATTTCTGTTTTCTTATGACTTTTAACTAAAAAATAGTAATTTTCCATATATCAAGAATGCTCTCTCGTTCATAACCTTTCAGCCCATCAAGTTCATTTGCTTTGAGAGTACCTAATTAACAAGAGGATTTCATCTAGCCACCGCTGGGAAGAAGACAGTTTGTCAGTTTCAACAACAGGTCTTGGCAAGTTGTTCCTGACAACCTTTGAAAATAAAAAAGTACCTCCTTAAAGAAGTCAGTGAGATGATCAAGTGTCCTTGATTACTTGAGTCTTTTCAATACTTGAATAAGACAGCTTAAATTTAGAATATATACATTTAAGATATATAAAAATACAAAATCACCCAAGAAATGTATATAAAATGTAGTGTATGAAATTAACTTATTAATGCTGGAAGCCTGTATAAACAGCAATATCTCAACTGAATAATAATACTATTTGCAGGAACACAGCTGAGGCCAATGACTTGAGTACTTCACCCTTTTAAAGAATATAGAATGAACTAAGGCTTCCATGTTGTATCTAAAAGCCGGATATATGTTGAAAGGGAATGCAGATTGCTTTTTTCCTGCTGTGTATTAATGGAAATGCCAATGTGGAGTGTTGTCCCACTCACTCTTTACTTTTAACCCTCAGCTTTTTTTTTTGCTGCAGCAAGACGTCTTGAGAGAGTTAATTGCATCTGTAATGCTAATCATGTCAGAACTTAGAATGTCTTGGAAAACTGCAAAACATTTACCAATTTGTAAATTGAAGAAATCTATATTAATTATTGATATCACAAATAGCATATTTTTATAAGCCACCTGTATGTTAATATTTACATTATATAGTACCATTATTCTTAATAACAGCTTATAAAACAGTGTAAAGAAGTCTAATTCTCTGTTATTATTAAGCAACTTAATAAGCACAACATATTTAAATAGTTTGCATTATTTGAAAACATAAATGGAGATAATGGAGTTTTATTATATCCATCTCTCCTTCTGGAAATTGAAAAAGTTGATGCCTATGTAGACTGTTATCTAGGCTGAGAGAATGGACACTTCTGAAGGTGTGATCCCGAGACAAGGCAGACAAATGAAAAATTGAGTTAGTAATAGAACTTGGAATACAAATGTTTATTTTAATTGTGGTCAAAGTAAAGACTTTATTTATTTGATGCGGCTTAGGTAATCAGCCTCTAGTCAGGGAATGAAAAAATGAGTTAGAGCTCAGTAAGGGCTACAGGTAAGTGTTTTATCTGCACACTATTCCTAAGCTATAAAGTCAGTGTTTTCACCAGATCTCAGTCTCTTTGTGCCTGTTTTTTATTTGTACTTGCTCAATTAAAAATAGTTTCTCGTTTACAAAGGTGATGTGTAAACCCATGTATACAACAGGGCAGGACTAGGATAGATCAGGTTGGGCAGCCCGTATAGTTTAATATTAAATTAGTGGTGAACAGTACAGCTCCTGGGAAGAAACTCTCATACTGACTGTGGTCAGTATGTGTAGACTTCATTGGATACATAATTGATTTCTCTGCTCATCATGTGAGATTTTCTTGCGCATTCACCAGGCATTGCTGTTCAGCTTGGGTTGAGCACATGTTAAAGAAGAGCAGAAAGTGAGTTAAAAGGACATCATATCACAAGCCTGCTTTTCAAATTTGCAGAACAAGAGGGAGAGTCAATGACACGAAAGGTTTGCATTTTAAGAATTTAAGACAACTTGTGATAATTTATGCATAATAGGACACAAAAACAGCTGTCAGGAGAACTTGTGAAATGTTGCTCTCAACACCTTACAAAGAAAGATTTGAATACATCTTTAGTAACAGAGCTCTGAGAAAATGCACATATTTATGCAAGTACATATTTAATAAATTGTATCTTGTGGCACCCAGAGGTTTTTGGTAGGGCATGTAGCGAGTGAGAGAGGACTTGGAATATGTATGCAGGGGGTGGAGTGCTGCCCACTCCTGGCATTGCTGTTCATTGTTAAGAGTATGGTATCGATTCCTCTTCTGAACATAGCAAATAATTTTTTTTCTTCTTAAGCAAAGTTCTGTTTATTATTAAAAACACACAGCATTTGGAAGCACTACAATTTCTTAAATATTAGCGTGAGGCTGCTGCAGATCTCTCTCTTTCCCCAATACCTTGAGCTGCCTAAGGACTGGAGTGGCAATGAGCCAGCAGAGCACGGATTGGACAGCGCTGTGAGTCAACTGTTCCCCATCCTTCTAAGCGGGACTTACAAATCCAAGGTTGTGGATGAGTATAATTAAATATTCACCCTCTCAGTGTAATAGTGTAATAGTGTTATATTAACATGTTAATAGTAATTTAATTAATTGAAGTAGCCATAGTTACTTAATGAGACATAAGTAACATTAATGTTACTATCAATGTTAAAGTTATATTAATGAGACAGATTAGGAAGTTAGTGTATCCAACTGTATACTAACCATAGTATCCTTGTTTTTATATCTCTTTACTGTATCAGATATTGATATTTTGAATGTTTTTGTGCACATGTTGTTTTATGTATCAATAGATGTATTCTGTGTGTTGTAAATCCTTGTAAAGACTGTTCTGCTGATTGATTCCTAATAGCCAAAATAAAGTCACGCAATTTATTGTTACAATTAAAGCTAACTGTTACAAATTAAAACCCCTACAAAGCCAAAATGGTTCAAAGTATATTATAAACTATACATAGTTTTACAGCTTGAGTATTATAAACATAAAATAAAGTAGAAAAAACAAGTGTTTCATGTGCACATTTTGTCTTATATTTACACTGATCAAATAAAATAGTCTGCTTATACTCAATCCAGTGGGCCAACATTGGAATACCTAATTGTTAGTGATGTGATATTAGAAAATAATGTTTTGAACTGGCAAAAGTTAGTATTTATAAGCAAACACCTCAGAGCACCGATCCCTCATTAGTAATTCTGTATGATGGTGCTTATAATTTTAAGTAAAATTACCATCGTGGCTTGAATGTGGCACCTTAAAATGGGCATCATTTTAAACAAAAAGCATTTTCTTTCATGATGTTCCACTAACATTCTGTGGTACAATTAGGCATTCAAAGGTTGTACCCAAAACCGTAGACCCCTCCATCAACCTTGAGTGTTAGCAAGACACTTAGTCAGTGGTTACAGCTCAAAATTAAATGAACAATATTAAATATTTGAATTCTATTGTGTTTTTCATCCAAATGATCACAAAACATTTTTACATGCAGGAGAAGAACTACTTGAAAACTTGTTAATGGAAAGAAAACAGGACAGATAAGGGGTAAATGCTAAATTAAGGTGATATGTTTAGTGGAGTACCACAGGAATCATTATTAGGATTATTTGTGCTTATTTCTTTCAATAATTTGCATTCTGTTACGGTTAACAGACTACTCAAGTTCTCACATGATACCAAAAATAGGAGGATCAGCAAACACTATAAAAACAGCAAAGGAAATTTAAAAGACAAAATTGAAGAATGGACCAACACCTGTCAGGAGACTTTTAATGTAAACAAGTTAAGAGTAGAGACCAATGCAGGTAATGAAAAAATACTTTTCTTTCCATAGGAGTGATTATGAAAAAGACTTGATAAAGAATAATAATGTATTTTACTTTTATCTTCTAGAAAATAGAGAAAAACATTTAAAATGGCAGTAAAAGTGTTAGAATATGTAGATAAAAGTGTATAATTTAAATCATGTGATCTTTTGTTGAATGTATGTACATTAGTGCACTACTGGAAGTCCAT